ATAGGCTTTTTTGTAGTACTCGACGAGATCTATGAGTTTTGCATTTGAAGTTTTTCTCCCAAGCTTTTCGTTTTTGAGTTAGGACGGTTTGAAAATTTAAAAAAAAAAAAATGACCCTTTGAATTTTTTTTGTCGAAAAAATTCAAATATCGAATTCAAAAAAAAAAAAATTCTATCGGATAGAGATGCAAAAAATACGTCAAAAAGTTAATTTGACCCTCCTCGCTACGGTACCATAGAATGATTGTGTGATTGCAGGGGTACATGGTATATTATTTTCCGGACGAATAATAATAAAATAATAATTCGGAAATTCCGGGTTAATAAAAAAAAAAATATTCGACCGGAAGTTCCGTAACATTATCCACACTGTAACAATAGGGAACTTTACAATTTTTTTTTTTATTTTTTTAAATCATTTATTTATGCCTTGAAAGAGTATTCCCCAAATATTATTCCCTAAAACTCAATAATAACTTGGTGAAAAATGTTTAAAGTTTCGCGCGAATTAAAAGCATTTCAAACGACCTTAAATCTGGATGACGTCACGTAGTATGATTTTGCGTTAAGCTGGCGCCACACGATGTGTCCAACCATTGGCCCCAACGTTAGATCCAACGTTGGGTACAGTGTTTTTTGCTCTAGCATTCGGCAAATGCACATACCTACTTACTTTTGTTACTATAAACATATCACAAATTACAGATTGGCGGATTGCCCTTTGGAATTTCCTTCTTCGGTCATAATTAATAGGTATATCGTTTTATTTATATAATGCTAAGCTAATCATTGAATTTAAGCGAAGTAAACCAATTCTAATATTGATAAAATTTTAAAAAAAATCAGAGAAAAACGTAAATAAATACAGCTAACGGGTATTTATTATGTAGAGTTCGAGTAAACGCTCGGAGTTGCTGTTTTGTTCTTTTATCCCTGTTCTTCTCATCATAAGAAAAAAAGACGGAAAATGCTCCGAGTGCTCAGTGTTTCAAGACGAACTCACGGTATGATGGACGGTTGCTGACAGACACTGACAAATCATACTACATGACGTCACGACCAGTACCAGAGCGTTTTTTCCCGCTGGAAATAATTTGAATTTTTCTGCATTTTCAATTCCTTATTGTGGCCGTTTGCGACAAAAAAAAATTATATTTTTCGCTGATATAGGTTTTAATTAATGTATTCTTATGATTTATAGTAATATTTTCATGTTTAAATTTTTTGTCAAGTTCCCTATTAAACAAACTCTAGGCATATCCAAGAAACTTCTGGAGCACACAGAAGGTATTTATTTAAAAAAATCTAACTAAAAACTTAAAAAACACTGTAAATTATATCTTTGTTTTACCTCAAGGCGATTGTCAATAGTGTCAAACTGTCAGATCATGTACTCGCCCGGTCACAAATTGAAATTCGCGACCCCTAGTGAGAGATGTCAAAAGTTTTTGTATTGATAGTTTGTCAAATTTTCACTAGAATTTCGAAAAATGGAGATGGAAATACATTTTGGTTTCCAAAATATAAAATTTAATCACCATGAAGCTGCATACAAAAAAGGTGTGGCTCTAGTGAAAGCTAAACTTGTATTGCAAGTAGTTGAACGAGATTTTGGAGGGGACTTATCCATTTTGGAAGGGCATGTGATGCGCCAAACCTCCATAAACAGCTCTCCTCATGCTGTTGAGCTAGGTATAACAATAAAATGGACGCTACAAATCCTTGACTGTCTTTATGGCTCCCACATTTTACTATTTTTTGAATTGGATCTTAAAACGATAAAGAGTAAAGTAACTACAGGCTTTTTTTTCCCCAAGATAGATTTTGACATCCTCAACTTTGAAACATAAACAATGCCGCTTATTGCTCGGAACATGCCATTTGCACTGATAGCAATTTCCATTTGTCGAACCAGTGTAAATTTTTTTTATCCTTATCCTTACATGTTACATACTTTTAGAAAAACATGCGGATAAGCTTACTGCGCACTGACTGGCAAATGGAAATCACCATGATGTCAACCTGCAGGGACACCTCATTTTGCGACCAATCAGGGCCAAGAGGTATTGTTTACGTTTCAAAGTTGACAATGTCAAAATCTATTTTATGAAAAAATAGACAATAAATCAATACAAAAACTCAGTGTATAGTTCCTGTGTCTTTCCTGATCATGGGACCGACTAGGAAAACTGTAGAAGTGAACATTTCCACTTGTGTTGGCATAATTATTGCCACAGTTAACAACACAATAATTTGTGAAACTGTTCCTGGGTAAAGGCATGACAAGTAGTGGGTATGCACAATAGCCTGAATAAAAGATAATAAAAAGCGTTTGGCAAATAATAATTACAAGAAAAAAAGTGAAATTAAATACAATTGTTCCGTGTAAACAACCATACCTTTATAATGAAAAATATTTCGCTTTGAAATCGTTTTTAATAACAAAAATTACATTTGTGTAAATGAAATCAAGCACTTGTCATAATACAAGAACTTACATTGCTGTCGAAAGAGGGCGCTACTGTAGTTTATGGACTACAGTGGCTAAATAAACCTTTACATACAGTGGCGACAATAGAGGTCCCTCCGCCATTTTGTTTCCAACTTCTTGTTACTTTTAAATATTAATATATAGGATTTAAATGGACATCTATCATGCAATATTGAAATCGACGTATTTGACGACTATTATTAGGTCCATCAAATACGTTGCTTACCATGTTTTATGAGGGATGTTCACCTAAATCTCATATATTCAGATTTGAAATAAGCAATGGGTGGGAACAAGATGGCGGCTTTTGCAATATAAATATAAATATATGGGATTTTAGAACCAATCAAAAATAAGACAGCAATTGTCGCCACTGTGGGTAATAGAGTCACTGTATTATGGACGGACTCTATAGTTCAAAAATTCAATTTAAAGGTACGGTTTGTTAGGAGAGTACGCGTCGCACAACTGACAACGTAAACGTCGTCATTGGTTCAGGTATGACCATAGGTATGAAGTACACCCGTTTTCTCACGTCAGAAGACGGGTGTACGTCATACCTGAACCAATGACGACTTTTACGTTGTCAGTTGTGCGTCGCGTACTATCCTAACAAACCGTACCTTAAATCCGAATCCGTCAAGTTCATGGGCCAAATTTAGATCGATATGAAAAATTCATAATCTGAAAAAATCAGAAAGTGCGTGTTGTATAATAAAAATATATAAAATTCAGTAAGATATTCCGCGGATTCCGGCTTTGTGAGGTCGGCCTTATAGGATCACTAATCATATATTAACATGGTTTTTCTTTGTTTCAGGTGAGTCTTCAATAGTCCAGTATAAAGGCCGGGACACATCTATCATGCATTCTTCCGATCCGACTCCGATCATACAATCAAGGTCCTTATTCTTGGAACAGTGGAGCAGCGTTCCTAGGAGAACGCCTGGAAACACTGCTCCCTGTTCCAAGAATAAAGACCCTGATTATATGATCGGAGTCGGATCGGAAGAATGCATGATAGATGTGTCCCGGGCTTAATAGGTTTAATCTGAAAAGGTAAGTTCCAAAACCGAGCATCTACTACTTTTTAAAAAGGCGTGGTTTTCGATAGAATCAAACACTTCGCCGATACTGTACAAATAACGATCACTGAGTTCTGAACAACCTCGAGAGAGACTTGCCCTTGATATTTTTACTTTTTCTGGGAAAAGTTACTTGGTCATTTTTGATTCATATTCGAACTGGCTTGAGTTATGTTGTATAAAAGATAAATTGATCAAATCTATTAGAAATTCTTTAAAGAAGATGTTTTGTATTTTTGGCGCTCCAGATAGTGTAGTTCTAGACAATATCTCTTTTAATAGTTTCATGGAACTTCAATATTATCACCAGACTACCTGTGTTCTAATGGCTTAGCCGAAAAAGGAGTAGACATTGGTGAAAATATTCTTAAAACATCATTGAAAAAGAATGAAGATATTGAAATTGCGTTGCTTCAGTTTCGTAACTCACCATTGAAACATATAGGTTACCTTTTCTCATTCCCAGCTTATTATGAGCAGAATATGTAAAATCAAATTACCAATTAGTAGGTAGTCACACAAACCAAATTTTGTGAAAATGTATTTGAAAAGTTAAAAAATAAGCATTGTATTTGCAGCAAGTACTATAACAAAAACGCTAAAAATTTTGAACCTTTGAATTGCGATGACACTATTTATAATCATGTTCGGAACCAATGAGAACTAGGTAAAGTCGTTAGTGAGCAGAGAACTCGACGTTTTTACCGTGTTCAGAATAAACATAATGTAGTGAGGCGTAATCGAATTGATAAGAAATAAATTGTTTCCGTCTTCAGAATATGATTTGAATGTAGAAATTACGCCAACTTAGAAGGAACATTACGATCAGCGTCAGATCCAAGTTCATTCACCTGTTCAATTCAACTGTAGCTCTAAAGCTGGACATATTCCTTTAGAATCATCTCTTGTCGTGTCTGATGATAATTTTAAAAAGTATATGAACGTATTTCCAAACCTCCTAATAGGCTTAATCTTTAGGAGGGGAGATGTGAGATAATAATTAGTATTATTGCTTTAGTTCTCTATGTTATGTTATTCTAGTTAGTTATCTGTGGTAATATAACTAACATGTAAACCCTATTCTATGATGTCAACTAGTTTGTAAAAACGTCCCCTCTGAACGTCACAGATCCACGTTGTCAAATAAGTTCTCGTCTATTATTTCTATTAGGTAGTTGTATTCTATCCTTGAGTGCTTATTCTTGAAACTGGGGAGCAGCGTTCCCAGGAGAACAAGTATTCCGTCCTTCTCAGTGATATGCAATAATGATAAAGAGTAACAAAGACGAAACACTCGTTCTCCTGGGAACGCTGCTCCCCAGTGGAATCGCCAGGATATGACAAACTTGAGAGTGAATTGAGCCAATTAGCTGCAATACTGAAATGGTACCCTATGCATGTTGGAACACATGAAATATTCTTACCGAAACACATATGCTGGCATGAGACTCTACAAAAAAGCATCCTATAATGTTTCCATTGCATCTTTCCACTCGTCGGCAAAATTCGCTGTGGTCATCATAACACCCATAACTTTTTGTTAAGGAATATGCACTGCAGGTTTGTCTACACGTTCTTTTCGAGCTCATGTCTACCTCGTTTTCGATGTGGCCCTGCAGAAGTCTTGTGAATTGGTCGTAGTTTTTTCCTAAAGAAATTCAATTGCTCATTTGTACAGAAAAAGGCAACTTGCATATTTTTCAAAAAGCTATGCCCTATATCTGGATGTTATATCACAATATTGAGTTTGTAAAAGATGTTTTAAGTTTTTATCGCTTCCAATCATCATTAGTGTCTACGAACCAGAAACACACATACCTCTAAGTGCGCGTTCACATTGACACCGCTCAAGCGGTGAGCGTTGCGCGATGCCGGTCTAGCGATGTCAACGGGTGCGATGCAGGGCGTAGTTGTGTTCATATTGGTGAGCGTTATTTATATTCATGGTAACATAATGTCGCCCCTGCGAAAGTGTTTGTGGAAAACTCACGACTACCAATGGTTATTTTGCGAAAAAAAATTAGAACAGTTCATGAAGTAATCAACAGCGTTTAAATTTAAATATTCAATTAGAAAAATCTGACATTGCAGAAATGTTTTTCCTACGAGCGTGCGGAAAAAGCTCTTTTGCAGCACGCGTTGGCCTGCGTAAAGAGTAGTTTTTCCGCACGTCGTCGCGTCCTGAATGAAAAAATACCCACGATATGCAAACAATGGTGAATGGTGAATGTACAATTTTCAGCAGATTGTAAATTTAGCAAAAGCAAATGTCAAACAAATGTTGCAGATTCTATCGGGTCTTCAAACAAAAAAAAACAATCAAAGATGGTTTTTTTTGAACGTAGGTAAGTCGCATTATTGTTCCTTTATTGGTCAGGATTTTCGACATGACATTTTGACATTAACGTTCATTGACAAAATTGAAGAAACATATTGTTAAGACATACGTTTAAAAAACCATAGCAATCTTTGATTGTTATTTTTGAACACTCATTATCTTAGAAGTAATCGCCAATAGTAGACATCAGTAGAAACTTTGGGGAGGAATCTGATCAATACCATCATATGCTTAACCGTCAATTTGCATCAGCGATAAATTTACAATCTGCTGAAAATTGTACATTCACCATTAAAGTTGTCTATAATAAATAAATAATGTTATTTTTTTTTTTTTTTTTTTTTTTTTTTTTTTTTACGGATATGCGCACTCGCAAGGAAATGTGCTATCACGCTCGAGAAGCGGCAAGTGCGCAATTGCTCAATATAGATTCATATTTGTTTTTTATTGTCTGCTCGTAGGAAAAATTGTGTTCCTAACACTTGCGAAAAATAATTTTTCCGCACTTGTTAGGAAAATAACTATTTTATCCTATTGCAAAAGGGAAAGTTTCTGTTCGATACTTGGATAAAAAATCAACTGAAGAGTTTAACGTCGTGTCAGATAATTTTGAGCCACTAATGGGACATGTATGGATGAGACATTTAGATATCAGTCTTCAAAAAATCGACAATACAAATCAAGTAAACACCTTACCATCAACAGAAGAAGATTTTGTTCAAAAATACTCAAACATATTCGAGGAACGAGTTGGATTAGTACCAAAATTGAAAGTTTCCGTACGTCTATGTGAAAACGTTAAGCCATCGGTTAAGCCTGTTACACTAGTCCCAGGGTCCCAGCTAGAACCAGAAAAATAAAGATAGAGATAAAAAGTCAAAAAAGTTGACAGAAACTTTTTCTGATTATACAACTCATTGTACATTATTCCCATATGACACGAGAGGCTTAATAAGTGATAAGCCTTTTGGGATTATCGCGCTTGGTGGCATTCATAGTGTAACGTTTTCAATTTCTTGGCTGATAAGCTACCTTGTTTTGCCATACTGGATATGATTCCATATAGAGCTGCAATGAAATAAATGAATAAACAACTATCTTTTTTGTGCCCAGATTTTGTTACCTTGAGTGCTGGCTTCTACTAGAAGTTTTTTTGGTTCAGGTTTGCAAGTTTGGTTAATTGACCTAGGAAGGTTTGATTCAGTACGGCAGGGCCCGCTGTTATTGATTAGAATCTTAGGAAAAGGAGTTAGTACCATCACCATCTCTGTTTTCAAATCCAATCAATAATCTGAGGTTATGATAATAATTGCTGTTTTTTTGTACTCTTTGACTTTTCATTTCCATCATGTCATTGAACAGCTGTTTTGTCTAGGCGTTTTCTTTAGACCTGTTCTACCTTTTGATATATGTTCTATAGGCACTTTTCAACATTCACCAGTCAGTTTTTACACAACCGATTCTAAGTTCGTACTTTTGGGGTGAAACTGAACACGTCCTTTTCTATAATTTTCTTCAATGTCAAAATTAGAAGTTTGACAGATGAGAGCCTTCTTCTGGAATCTAAATGAAGAATCAGCCCTTTTGATCTTGAGACTTGATACCGAAAGGTTGGTCTCGGCCCTATTTGATTTTGGGCGAGATATTTTTGGAATTTTGTGCCAGGGAACTCAAGGTTTAGACTAATATCTAGTTGATAATTGTCTAGAGTCGTCCCTTGGTCATTTTGGATTTTGTTTCGGACTGTTCCGAGCAGCTTTTGGAAGTTTAAGACTTCACCTTTGGTCTAGAGTATCCCTCAATTTGAGGGTCCTACTCCTAGTCCTAGTCTCAGGCTATAGTTGGACAGCTCCTAGAAAGAGATTCCAGACTAGATCCAGATTGCTCTTAGTTGGCTTTGGTAGCCTCCCTTCAGCAACCCTCTTGGTAGCGCTCTGCTAGAACCACATTGGGTTCTACGTTAAACAGATACAACGTGGATAGGACTCATGACTCACTTACCATACCATAGTCTATCTACAGTGAGACCAAACCTGTAGATAATCTCCCTTCAAAACTTCTGGAGTTACACATACATTTGAAGATAACTAACACTTGTATCCCATGTAAGTTACACCTTTTACTATTTAGGCAAATCCTATGTAAATCACTTGATACTAAATCAGGTTCGGTAAGTGCCCCTTAAATAAAATTCTAGAATTTTACCCTGAGGTTGCCCTAACTATAACTTTCACCTTTCTGTGTTTAATTTGCCTGATGGTAAAGTGTAACCCATACTGTATTTTTCTTATCACGCACAAGTGTAAATACCAAAAGGTTTTAGTCATGTTTACCTAAAATTCATATTTATATATGCATTATTTACATTCATTCTTTTGATAATCAAATATTTATAAATTGGTACAAGCCATAATGTATACACATTTTTAACAACGTCCTGGCTATTGTACCTAATTAGTTGTTTTATTGATAAGCTCTCCAATTGCACAGGTTTTGTTTAAACATCATTAGGTTATCTTCCTAGTTAAGACACAATTAACTTGGTGGCGCCCAAAGGTAAGATGTATACAAGGAACCCATAGACCCATGGCCTCCGAACTGAAGCTGACTAGCCGTAGCAGTATAATTAGGCAATTGCCAAAATAAGTACGTTATAATAGCAAATTCTATTATAGAATTTTTTTTAAATTTCAAAGTATTAAAGTTTAGTTCGTTGTATAACCTTCTGAATACCACTCGATGTTTCAGGATTACCTAATACTTTTACCTGACACTCGACGCGTTACCAGCAACACCACTCCTCCTTCGGAGTCGTGGTGTTACTGCGTAACGCGTTTCGTGACAGGTAAAAGTATTATCCGGTAATCCTGAAACCTCTTGTGGTATTACATTCGATAATTTTTCTTGGAATCTGATAATTTTGTTCTCAAATCCTGATAATTTTAAATTTGATCTCTGGCAACGCTGGTTCCGTGCCTGAAGGTGGTAGATGCAAAAGTAAGCTCAACCATAGCTTCTCCTTGAACTGGTGCTGATTCGCCCGTGACTGTTCGTAGTGACAGGTTTCTAGTGAGCGGTTAGATTGCCCGAGACTTGACCAATGTTCTTCTAATAGGCTCGTACAGCATATTTTTTTATTACATATTCTAAAAGAGCGTATTGAGTTTAGCAGTTATGCAAAATTTCATAATTTTCTGAGCCCTTGTTCATATTTAAATAAATTATCAAAGTACTCCAAATTTGAAACACGCGGTGACGTCACTGCATCTCTCACGTCGGTCGTCGCGGTGCTGGTACGCCAGTCACTTCGACAATACGGGCATTGTTTTGACAAATTTTGGTTTGGCATCGTTTAGACAAGTTTTAGTTTGGCATTTTATGTATCTGGTAGAGGTTTGATGTTTTTCTTCCAAATCACATTTCGTATATTTGAATAATTCCCTGAGTTTCAATATTTTATAAGCACAATTATGGAAGTAGCATGCAAAAAGTAAAATTTAAAATATTGTATAGTTTCGCAAACTGTGTGCCAAACTGTCAATAGAAAATCAGTAGACATTGCGTTATGCAAAACCGTGTATAACGACCTGTCTCGACTCGAGAGATGCTATGACGTCACAGTAATGAATTTCCGAGGCATAACTTTTTAATATTAAAAAACGCGTAACTTTTCTAATATTTATCCAATTGAGCTGAAATTTTTTTATGTGTTATATTATGTGCGTAATACTCCATAAAAATGTGAAAACCCGCGTTAAAATTTTTTTATTGAACGAGCCTATTATAAAAACTTCAGCACCCGTACCAAAAGTGATGGCTTTAAATTCTTCATTAATTTGTCTTTCGAATTTTAATCCTCTATAATAATTGCCCAGGGATTTTATGTAAACAACCCTGGGGGCTTCATCACTTCTAGCCAGCATCCGCCCCTCCGTTCTAGTTGGTTGTATTTCTAGGGCTGGCGTCTCTAGGTCTCGAAAAACGTGGAAAACGATCCCTAGATGGAGAGGACATCCTTATTCTACAATCCCATTGCATGTGTCCAAGCTTTTGGCACCGGTAACATTTTACTCGGTTTCTCGGTGTTGGTGTTTGTTTGGAGTCGTTTTCCATTTTTCTAATTTCTAGTACTAGTTTCTCCATTTTCTCCATGAATTTACTCATAAGATTCTTGAAGCTATCATCTTCTTTTGACGTTTGTTTATCCTCCTGGTCTTGAATGGACACTGCTTGTATTCTGGGTCGTGAGGCACCAAAGATAGCTTCCAATTATAATGCTTTGACAAGGGTTTCACTACTTTTTCTGAACTTAGACATTCTCAAGTTCTCCTGGATTTTGGAATCTCTGATACCATCAATGAACGCAGATACTGCCATCCATTCTTGCATGTCTTCCCCAGCTGCAGGAAACGCCAAACTCACTAGCCTTTTAACTTCTGATTCGAATTCTTGTAAACTCTCCGGGTTTTTGAATTCTTGATTTGGCTTTTTCTTGGTTTCATCCGTTGGTATTTGCAGCAGCTTCAAATTGTCGGATATACATGGTCCAGGATGTAGAACCGTCAAAAGATGGTGGTTTTATCTTCATACTAGAGAATGACCCAACACTTAACTAGATTGATAGACTTTATTTCTAGTTTATTCACCTTATCCTCAAATGATTGGACTTATCGTCTAGCTTCTTCTTTTTGTTTTTCTTTTTGTCGTCTGGCCTCTTCGTCTCATTTCTCTTGTTGTCGTTTAGCTTCTTCCGCTTGTTTTTCTTTTTGTCGCTTGGCCTCTTCGTCTTGTTTTTCTTGTTGTCGTTTGGTCTCTTGAAGTTCGAACATTTTGCGTAGTTCTTTAACTTTTTGTTCATCCATTTTTGCTTGTCTTGTGATAGGCATATACAGAATGTTCTGGAATTTTCCTCAAACTCTCTTCAAATATCTTCCCTGGTCTTTTGTTGAAGTTCCAAACACGTCGGTGAAGTTACAAGTTGGATAACTTGCTTTATTCTCGAATAGAGTGTTCTAGAATTTTCTTGAAATGTTCTTCCTGAGTGTCGATTGATACAGCAAACACGTCGATGAAGTCACAAATCCAATATCTCCCTCTGTTTCCAAATAGAATGTTCTAGTATTTTCCCGAAACTCCTCGAAATTCTTTCTCTAAATGACGATTGATGTATCGAATACGTCGGCGAAGTCAGAAATTTGATATTTCCCTTAGTTTCCAAATAGAACTTTCTAGAACTCACTCGAAAATTCACTATCACAGTCAAAATCGGGTATACAGTCACTTCCGGGTAATTTACACGATCGGTTGAGTCTCTTTTGGTGATTGTCAATGCTTACACTGACTAACTGTCTCAGTGTTCACTATAGTGTTCACACTCAACACTAGTGCCCGCGCACTATTCTGCAATCGGATTTCACTTTGTTTGCAGACCTCAAATTATGTCTCACTTCTGACACCAATGTCACGGCTCTGTGGTGTGTGACAGAAATCTTGGGTTCGTTGTTCGTTTATTCCAGAATCAAAGTACAATAGGGAATTCTCATAAAAAAGAAACATGGCTTATTTTGTTTTTATGGTGCACATTTCTGTGTAAAATATTGAATATGAGCAGTTTTGTATTAAATTTATGGATATTATAGTCATATGGCAATTATTAGTTTTAAATTGAAAAGTTTCGCGCGAAAAAGTTACGTTTGACATGGCCGCTTCCAGTGACGTCAACTGTTCGTAATTTAAGGTTAAGGGTAGTTTACACTGATCGTAAATCCACGGTCCACACTTTCGTGATTCACTCTTGAATCGTGGAACGATTGGTCCACGATCAGTTCACGTCACGCCACGACTAATATTGAACCACCATAAACGGGTCTATTGAGCGAAGATTATCAGACTGCGCTTTTGTAAATCCTGTATCAACCATGATGAACTATTTGAAACAGAAAATGTCACAATATGGCACTAAATACAGAAATACCTCATAAATAACCGCTTTCAAGTTTCAATGCAGTCGAAGGTTCAAGCTAAGCGATTCTTTCCGACAGTTTGCAAAGTGTCAAAGGTTCTTGTGAGAACAGACCTTAACGTTGTGTTTACAAACAGTTGACGTCACAAATTCCACCATCTTGAAGCTAATCGTTTTCGCGCCAACGAAAATAATTTGAAATTCAGAATATTTTTTTTATTTCAATGAGGACATAAAACAAAAAAAAAACATACATTTTATATTTGAAAACATAATAATAAAATAAGAAAAAAAATACTGTGAAAAATATGATTGTTCCCTATTAACACAGCAATAATTTATTCCACTTGACTATACACTCTGACACTAATTACTTCAATAACTAACTCAACAATTAAACTTTTTACAACTCGCATCAATAATCACTATTTAAATCGTATCACAGCCAAACTTAAACTTACAAACTAATGCCGGCCTTTATATATCCCTAATATTTGCATGAAGTCAACCGAAGGTTGAAACTCAACTATGTTTTATAATACCGGCCATAAATATATTCATGTATAATCTAGAATAGACGCCATAACTATCCTTCTCGAAAACGTCGCAAGAATTCCGCTAAATTGGGTTCTTGACATCCTGGCGGCGGCGTTATCGTAACAATATAGACAAAAACATTAAAAACGTGGTTAAGGGTGGGTATTATAAAACGGCTTCGACAGTTAACTTGAAGTTAACTTTTTGAATTACATGTAATTCTAGAAGTTAACTTTAAGTTAACTCTCAAAGTACTTTTATAATACCCGCCCTAAGTCTTGCCAACTATGTGCGGAAATTCGAAAATCTCCAACAAAAGCACCGATCTCGGCACTGACGATACACCACTGGGATGAGCCAGCTGAACATTGGGACAGGATACATATTGACTATGCTGGACCATTTCAAGGATATTACTTTTTAATAGTAATTGACGCTTAATCTAAATGGGCAGAAATCAAGGTTGGAATAGATGCTCCAACTTCAGATAAAACTATAGAGTTACTGAGAGAATGGTATCAGATAATGCCCAAATTTTTGTAAGCGAACAATTTAAAACTTTTTCGACGCAACATGGTATTTTCCAAAAATGTATAGCTCCCGGGCATTCATCAACAAACGGTTTAGCTGAAAGAAATGTTCAAATATTAAAAATGAGACGAAAAGCTATGTCCAAGTATCGTATTTCAATAAATAAGCAGATTCAAGGAATCCTTTTAAAATATTGATCTACACCTCTTCTTTTTGGCAAATCCCCAGCAGAATTATATTTCCAACGAAGTATCAGAACTAAACTAGATGCACTCCATCCAACCAAACATGTCATGTCAGAAAGCCAGTCCATAAACACGAAATATTAGAGATTTAAGTGTGGGAGAAAGAGCCAACAAATGTTTATGGAATTTCGGAACTATTCTTAAAAAATATGGCATGTGGCACTATTTAGTACAACTTTATGATGGATATATTTTGAAACGACATATTGATCAATTAAGAACAACTTCAGTACCTGAAGCAAATATCACAGCATCAATATCATCCTTTATTACCTAGTGTAAAAAACCCTGTTTGTTCAGATCAAGAAGAAAAACAGCCGAATATTGAACCTGAACAATTTAACACTCCAATCATGGATGTAGAAGAAGAACCATTAGAATTTCAAGATTCCTACTCAGAGCTTCAAGAAGAACAAGTTGGAACATCGCCCAATAATTAATAAACCAAAAACTGATGTCCAAAATCAATATGAAAGACCAGAAAGAGTCCGTCGACCGAGTATTCGATTAAATGGCTACCTTTGATAGTTGCTTTTATTTTCTTTTGTATTTTTAATAATTAGTGTGAGAGATTATTATATCCTTGTATATTGTAGTGTTCGTTTTTGTCATCAAATCGACGAAAAACGATTTGCTCCGAAATTTTGACAGGCACGTGATTTGTAAATTGACGTGTCTCGCAGAAATAGAAAAAGAGAGCTTAATTGTAATAAATACAAGTTAGAAAGTAATAAAAAATGACATGCGCGCGCAACCCGTGGCTGCAGTGTAGCCAGATTGTATTGTTGCAGAACAAATGTAGACAATAAAAATCGAACATCATAACATTAAAGAAATGATATATTGTCAAGTGTTTACCACGCCTTAAATCAGACAAAATAAGAGCTTTAAGGTGTATGTTAACATCGATGGGACTTTTATTTTGATAAATGTTTCATCCGGCAACATCGCTCAATGAAATTGCCAAGGAATATGTTACGTATAATCTAACATAACCTTAAACGACACTGCAATAAGTTCAAGTAATACGTAAAGTATTAGTTTGTTCTTTGTCTAATTTCACGTTACAAAGAAAGAAGGAACGATTAATTCTGAACTCGTCCCTGAATACGAATATGACGCAAACCCGTAAAAAACTCGATTTTCATTGGACGCTCACCTGCAACCCACGAATTGCGCGCGCACACCAGGTATTACGAGACACGTCAATTGAAACTGTCTGATACATTCACGTGCTTGTCAAAATGTCGGAGCAAATCGACCAAAAAGATGACAAAAACGAACACGGCCTGTAATATATTTCTAACAGGTTTTATGCTTTCAAGTTGAAGGCAGCAGTCAATAAAGATAGAGTCTGTCAGCATAAAAGTGTAGAATTTCAATTCTAAAAGTTACGACCCCGATTAGCAGTTTCTTCCGCACTTTTACATTGAAAAATAAACAAAGCAAAGAGAAAAAATCGATATACCTATATCCTATTCACAATCCGTAGTCTAAAGGTAAAGGTAAATTTATCACCTTTCCCTATCAAAAGGCGAATTTTACCTTTACTTTTGAACATCGGATTGTGAATAGATACTTCAAGTTTTTTTTTTGCACTAATTCCAATTGGATACCTTTAACAAAAACTTCAGGATCACACCTCCAAACTTCCCTCATCCGTCTAATTGACGTACTCAGACTCTTCATTCTTTCCGTGACTCTACTTTCGTATTTTTTTCTACTGGCTATTGATTTATCCACAAAATCGCCTGCAAAAATTTCTAATATTTCACAGATTTTCAGACCAAAAATTCTACTTGCCTTTATCCCAAAGTCGATTGCCTAAATGACTAAATTGTTGCAGAATGTACGCTTTAAGTTCGGCCAAAGCAAACAAATTATATAAATTGTAAATAAGCTGTTGGGGCGATTGTTGTTTGTTTTTGCACCAGTAATTCTCTTGAAGCATCTGGAAATTTTGTTTAGAAATTTTGATTTCTTTTCGAGTTGTTTGGACCTTGATAATAATTAAGGAGCCCAAATAATTGTATTACCCGATCGAGTTCTTTCTCAATTCCATCATAATCCTTATAAGCAAGTTCATATGCGCGATCAACGGTTTTCTCAGCTCCGCTTTTATTGTTCGTAATATCATAGATAATATCTTCCAATGACACTCTATCAGTACTTCCTGCTATCACTTGTTGCTGGTAGTCTTTGAACTTTTGATATAAAGTTTCGATCATTTTTAATTCTGAGTAGAAAAACAGAAAATTTGGTATCATTCTCATCGCTTTTGATCCGTATAGGAGATCTTGGGGCATCTATAAATAAATAATGATATCTAAGTATTTGCTGTGGTTTGAATATGGTTATTAGTTTTTGTTTCAATCTGAATAAGTATTTTATTATATTTTTTAGGAGTAGGTACCTAAGTTAATAAGAAGATAATATTATAAATATGTATATATTAAAAATATTTCTTGTAATAACAAATTTTGCTTACGCATCAATAATTTATAGGCTTGCTCTTTGAAGTATGTATCATAAAAAATACATTGAACTGTATGTTATGATAGATAATTAATTACGTGTTTATTTTGTGTTCTATAATTAATTTTACCATATTACTGAGGTATCAGTGCAATTTTATATTGACTGTCTTTGCTATGCGTTCAAAACAAAGGGAGATGGATTGACAAAAAGCTCAGTGGCTCTTCTTTACACAATTGAATTTTGAAAAAAATTTCAATTTTCCACTTGTTTTAAAATATTATGAAAAAATACAAACAATTTACCCAAAAAAATGATAGCGTAGTTACTCACATTCATGTTCTTACCTGCATTAATTTCCTGTCAAAATCCTGAAATTTCTTAGACAAATAAGCCTCGGCCGCTTCTTGGCTCTTGTACAACAACCCGTTGGACGAAAAATTCCAAACCTCGTTTTCCAATTCCAAGAAATCCCATCTTAGTTGGTCTATCAATAATCTTTGATCGCCCACGCAAAAACAAATCACACAAAAACCGCCCAGCAGTCTGGAGATAATCATTTTCGTAAAAGACTATAGGTTCCAAGTGTTTGTTTGGAACTGGGAACCTTTTCTTTGTGGGATAACTGATAAATACTAACAACTGTTTGAGTCCCGATAAGACCTATTAAACGGGTACTAGTAAACTATTCTAGCGGGAAGTTTATAAAGGATAAAGAGCCTACAGCAGTTTTTGAGCTAATTTTTAGATGGCCTGGCCACCTGGGTTTTGTTCGGGTTCTTCTTCTGTTTGCACTTCTGCATACCGGTTTCCAGAGCATTGGTGTATTCTGGAGTTTAAGGGTTATTAGTCTGGTATTTCTGCCTATCGCGATGACAGCTTTGTCATGTCGTGGGTGTAGATGTTCTGTGGTGTAGATGTTGATCAGTGTAGGAGGTTATGATGGAGAACATTGTGGGATTCCGCTAGTCATCCGTATTTTTCTGCAGTGGCTGTCGTCTATCCTCACTTGCAACGTTCTGTTGGTGAAGAGCGATTGTGGTAATCTGGCGTTTCTATTCGTAGCAGCTCGCCAACAAAGGCTTTGGAGACGTAAAGTTTTTCTGGGTCACGTTTCTGTCCTCTGTGTGGTTGTCAATTCTTTTAAGAACCATCTGTCTGTGCTATTTTGCAGAAGCTGGATAGGAGGCTGATTGTCCGGGAGTTGGCCACCTGGTTCGGGCTGTCTTGCTTTTATGAATCAGTATGACGTCTGCCTTTTTCCATCGTGTGGGAAGTGTCGCGTTCTCATTCATAATGCCGTTCACAATGTTAGTTAGCTCCACAAAGTTGCATTTTGTACAAGTTAGTTGGCAGTTTGGTGCAATGAGCCAAACCAGCAGGGTGCAGGTATCAGCTTAACGTTTCGAAAATGTATATGTTACATGTACCTATATCTCATTTTAATTTAATTTAAGTTATATTTATTTAATTTAATCTTTAGGTGTACAACTACAGAGCAAAAATATCTAAATGGTACACATTTGCAGAACTTAAAACTAAAAACAATGACAAACTAATATAACAAAAGCAAGAAGTCAGTAAGCTATAGCTTTTGATACCAGAATTTTTATGAGCAATTGACTGGCATCCTTCAATAACAACCTAATAAAGCAAATTCTTTTAGCACGAATAATGAACAACGCAGCTTTGGTTGATTTACTCACATTAAACGTTTAACAATTTGGTTTCTTTGTTTCTGTGTAGTTATTAAAAGATTTTCTCGGGGTATTGGCAGGATATAAATGCGGCTAAACGATATTGGTATATATTTATTTAAATATACCTTTTATCAAGAATAAATATTACATTTTGTGTACCTATGTATTTACTTCCAAGGGTTTCTTATACGTAGTGTCTACATCAAATATTTGTAAACTAGGGATCCCCTGGAGATTTGCCAATAATTCGAGGATCGGTTGTCAAGTTTTCTATTTGAATTTATGAGATTCCATAACCATTACAATTTTTATACATAATTTTGAGGAACTGTTTTTGAATGTTGAATGTTAGCTGTTCAAATTCAAATTCGAAAGCTTCATTTGTCTAAATACATAGTACTTGTTGACAAAGCCACGCTTAAAATTAATTGCACTAGTTGAAAAATAAAACAAACCTAATTGCATCCAGCTTAAAGCTAAATTGACACAGTACAGTACAGTAAAGTAAAAAAAAAACAAACAAATACAATAAAAGTTTTGTCCGCCTTGGACCCTATGCTATTTATTCGTAAAAAAATTGTCAAAGGTATAAAATGCCTTAGAGACCAAAAACTCATTGGTCATACACCGGGAATTACACATACATTTACTAAAATTACTGAAATTACAAAAAAATTACACACATTTACTAAAATTACTGAAATTATACACATTTACCAAAATTACTAAAACCCCTTAAAATCATTTCTAACTTGATTTTATAAGTAGTTTTTATATAGAAGGTACCTACTAGTACATTAAAGTGCACTTTATTTCATTAGTAAAATAAATTACTGTCAATTTGAAAAATGACAAAATATTTTCAAAACATTATTTTTCTACTACCGTGCGTAAAGTACTCACTTTACGCACTATTCAGAAGACGTAAAATTTCACTTCACGCACTAGTGCGTAAAGTAATTCACTTCACACACTAGTGCGTGAAGTAATGTCAATGACAGTTGTTGACACTGTCAATTTGGCATTTTTCTGGTAAATTACTTCACGCACTAGTGCGTAAAGTGAAAATTCTTCACACACTAGTGCGTAAAGTGTTTGTCAAAATTTATTTTTTTACACATATTTGATTGGTAGTAGAAAAAATTTTGGATGCAATACGTGCGTAAAGCACCTTTTTTCACTCATGTGATTGTCGCACTCGCCTTCGGCTCGTGCGTCAAAATTCACATTCGTGAAAAAAGGTTCACTTTACACACTTGTTGCATAAATAACTATTTTGAATTTTTCTGGAATTTTTATTATGAGAAGAAATTAATCTTGTCTCAATTGTAATGTGTCTTCAAAAAAAAATTAAAGATTGCTATGGTTTTTTCTCGGGTTTTTTAAATGTATGTCTCAGCAATATTTTTCTTCAATTTTGTCATTGCATTTTGTAATGTCGAAAACTTGGTCAAAAATCTCAACCAATAAAGAAATAAAAATGCGACGTAAAGTCCGTCGTTTTTAATCTGACACTTTCCGTATGAGGAGCGAGGAGATGTTGCATAAGGCAAAAACAAGTGTGTCGTCAGGTAACAATTGGTGTTCCTTCGGACCTCAAAATTCAAACATGTTCCAATTGAACAAACGGATCGGGATCTCGGAATCATGATTCAAATATATTGCGAAAGAATGCGGCTCAGTTAATCGTTAATCCTGCGCGAGCAAAAAACGATAGACCTCAAGGTTATTATTGAGAGAGGCAGGTTGCCTGGATAACTGCACGACGTCATTTAAGATGCTTCAACATAATGCAAATCTCCATAAGGCACCCCAGATGCGTCATCAAGTTACACATTACCAGACAACCTATCAACTTTAGGAGCCTTGGATAGAGTTCAGGTGATCTTTAATCAAGAACGATAAACCACAGAGAATGGTTACATCGGTGATAGTTTTCCGCCAGTTTAGCAGGGGCACGCGCTACTCTAGGGACGTCACCTGGCTCACTCGAAACAAGTTTTATGCCTTAATTGTTATTGTTATAGGAGGATAATATGGTTTAACCCAAGGTTCCTGGAGTTTATAAGTTGCCTTGTAATGGGTAACCTGATGACGCGTCTGGGGAGCCTTATGCAGATTTGCATTGTGTTAAGGCACCCCGGATGACGTCATAAAGCTATCAGGCAACCGACCTCTCTCAAACAACCTTGGGTTTAGCCATTTAATGATGTGCCAATGCCAAAATAGGCTTTTAATGCAATAAATTTCGACAAGTTTTATATTAAACTTCTCGAATTTTCATTACAGAGTAATGTCGAGCAATGTAGGTAACTAATACCAAATCTTTGGATCGGTGGGCCGGAGTACGTCACGCGTCTGGTGATTAACCTATGCGGTCGGCTAAATTGGCGAACGCGGCGCTTATGAAAAGCGACTATCGTCTCAGGGTTTATCGTTCTTGATCTTCTATGACTTCAAATGGAAGCTCACGTGAGCTTCCGTCAATAATGTCATCTTTTAACTAGCGAGGCTCACACGTTCCACGTGTTGCTAAATTCACCAAAATGGTGCACCGCCACGGATGCGGTGATTAAAATTCACTAATGCCAAACCGTAGCTTGTCAAACCCTGTTTAATTTAACAACACTGCTTGTTCTACCATTCCACCACGGTGCCAACACTAGCTGAATTTAGCCACATGCGGGTTATTGGAAGGAATGTAATATTGACAGTTGAGATGTAGAAGGTGTTTCTGTACCAAGGATGATACACACCTACAGGATTGGTGGCCTCGTTTTTGGTAATCGTCGCCATATTGGTATGTCGCCATTTCCAACGTCATAACACTCATAACTAAGTCGTCAGCTGGTTAAAGACCCTACGTCAAGGCGAGAAATAACATGCTGGCCTATGTCACAACTGGTAGTTTGGTGTAAGGTGGGGGAAAAGGTTGGGGATTTGTTACACACTGGCCTATGAGGATAGGCCTTCCTTTAGCTCTATGTCCTGTAGTAGTATAGTAGTAGTAGTGTGTAACATCCTTGCTTCTGTACCTCAATGGAGCTCTTCAAATGGCAGCAAATATCCAGTTAAGTTCCCCAAAATTTTGTAGAGGGCGCGAGTGAACTTGGAGTGCTTTGAATCTTGGCGGTAAATATCAATAGTTTTAAACTGTTTCAAACTTATTTTAATAAGTAGAAGGAAAGATAACTACATATGAACAATGAACTGTGAATAGGTTAAAATATCTTCCAAAAAGTTCAGTGTGTTCCAAGTACACAAGCGCCCTCTTCAACTCAACTGTCAATATTACATGCCATAGGGCAAGTACAGGGTGTCCGAATTTAGATGGTTTTAATAGGAAACGCCAATTTCTGAGCGAGATACAAAAAAATGAACCCCCCACTCCGAGGCTCAAATTTCTTGAAATTTTGATTCGTGCAAACCGCATTTTGATATCTTCAACCGTTTAGCCGCTAGAGGGCGATTCTCGATTTTGAGCAATACTGTGAAATCTTCATAACTTTTTTGTTTATAAAAATAACTGATTTCTGTAAAAACTTCCTAGAAGCACTTTTTCAAGCAGAATTCAGTGACGTTTTCAGTTTTTTTCTATTGGGCCTCGATTTCAAGATTTTGATCAAAATCCGATTTTTTCCAATGGGACACCCTATGTATTAATAGCTCATTAGAAAGCTCTGCTTTTTCTGATTTCAATGATAAAAATTTCGATAGGTTTATCTCTAACAGTTTTTGAGAAAAAAAAATATTTCGGCTTTTGTCATAAGAAACAATGAGTTAGAAAGAGACCTTTCTCAGTTTCCTTACAGATATAAAGTCCTTTTCTTACACCTTACTTCTTATGACAAAAACCGAAATAATTTTTTTTCTCGAAACCTATTGGAGATAAACCTATCGAACTTTATATCATTGAAATCAGAAAAAGTCGAGCTTTCTAATGAGCTATTAATATATAGAGTGTCCTATTGAAAAAAAAACAGACTTTGGTCAATATCTCGGAGTTGGGACCAACTAGAAAAAAACTGAGAACGTCACTGAAATTCTCCTTGAAAAAGTGCTTTTAGAAAGTTTTTACGGAAATCAATAATTTTCATAAACAAAAAAGTTATGATCGGTTATGATGGTTTCACATTATTGCTCAAAATCGAGAATCGCCCTCTAGAGGCTAAACGGTTGAAGATATCAAAATGCGGTTTGCACCAATCAAAAATTCATGAAATTTGAGCCTCGGAGTGGGGGGTTCATTTTTTTGTATCTTGCTCAGAAATTGATGTTTCCTATTAAAACCATCCAAATTCGGACACCCTGTACACGATCTGACAGTTTGACACTATTGTTCCTAAAAGAGAAGATCTAACAGAAAAATAGATTGAATATAGAGTAACTATACTTTATATTTGTTCTTGTGACACTTGGTACCATCGTCACCAAAAGTATCTGGGACACGCATAATGCATAATAATCTCCTGGACTAATTCTACTGTCACTTATTTTAATGCATTTAATTTATAGTTTGGCAGATATTTGACAATAAAATTCATATAATAGTAGGTACAAGAGCTGATATGATGCTGTCCCAGTTACTTTTGGTGACGATGGTACGTGCCAGAGCTAGAGTGTAATTACCCTCAAAAATTTAATTTTATGTGGAGTTTCAGTTTTTGAAGCAAAAACCACACGTTGTTGTCAATGAAGACCGCCTTCCGGTAATTAGGGATTTTCAGCCGTATCGATATGTTATCGTCAATTTTTCTATCGCGGGGAACACTTTTGTGCGTATTTTCAACACTATCACTCCAAGCCATTGCTACTATCCCCTAGGATCCCCTAGGGGGGTGAGCTCCACCCTTATCTATGGTTTCACCCTTCACCCGTACCTACAATTTTTCGTATAGGTACGACGCGACGTATAGGTACCCCCTAGGCCTTGAGTTAAAATTCTTTGCAAAAAGTTTCCCCCTCAAAAATAAAAATAACTGTTAATTTTTATTTTTGAGGGGGAAACGAGCCTTTTTTCTTAACTGACGATAAATATGAAAAATCCGTTTTATTTTGTTTTCTTTTCATTGGCTTGAGCTCGAGCATTGACCCACCCGGTATAGATTTTATGTACGATTGCTTTTGTCATGAGAAAATTTCCACAAAACTTCCAGAATAATTTTTTAGAAACGTTTTTGTAAAATACACAAATTTATAAAAAATTACTGGAAAATTATTGAAAAATTACCAAAAATTACTAAAAATTTCTAAAAATTACTAAAAATTACTAGAAATTACTGAAAATTACTAAAATTACTAGAAATTACTAAAAATTCTTTAGTAGGCAAAAATAATTTTCAAGCTTTGTAAATATGCTAATAAAAAATACCAGGATTTCGATTGTGATTTTTTCACGGCTAAAACTTCAAGTTCAAGGACGATGTTTATTGGTACATGGATACCTTGAACATGACTCTTTTTTTTGATGTTGTGATACGCAGGGTGTTCAATTGAAAATAATGGAGAATTTCGATGTTGAAAAACGGATTTTTTTTAACTCGCCCTGTGTAAGTGCCGAAAAAATTTGCGACCTACTACAAAAAACTTTAGGCTAAGAGAAATCGAATGGCGCAAACCGCAGGTAGCTAGCACACCTGGTTTAAAAGTTATAAGCATTTACATTTAACTTTTTCACGATAGCATGTCATAAGGTCTGAAAAATTGGCCTATTTTCAACTCAATTAAAAAATGATCAATTACAGAATTGGGTTCTTTTTTAAACACTTTGAAAAATTCATTTTTAATTTCTTCAATTAGGAAATCTGGGCTGGGACTCTATAACGGATAGAGATCGTTATCCCTATCGCTATGGCACTTGCTGTCTTCTTTTCTCTATTCGAAATCAATAGAGAGGGGACTTCAATAGAGATAGAGAAAATATCTCTATTCGTTACAGAGTCCCAGCCCTGACTCTTTACTATTTCGACTGTCACTGACTTGATAATTTTGACTCGTACCTTGAAAGGACTTATGTGCTATTGATGACTGACACTGACTCTCCGACTGACATGTGACTGATTGACAAAACTCAGACTCGACTGACTCATTCTGATTGGCTTGACTTAACTGGCCTAGACTAAAAATATTTTTCCAATTAGGACTTATAACATTAAGCCAATTCCGACCTAAAAGTGGTTTGAACGGTCTAGGGTTTGAACTCTCTAGTTCCATCAAGAACCACTATAGGTAAGAAATAACTTACATTTTTAAACAAGACTGTAACGACTAGGTATCTCACCAAGTTTTTTGACTTTTTGACCTGTGACTACTTTTAAATTATATTCAACAGAAAATAATTCAAATGAACTAAAAAGTTGTTTAAATGTAGCCACATGTATAACTGTCTTGCATGCACCAGAGTCTACCTCGAATTCCACTGACTTACATTCGACTATAATATTCACCCTTGAAGTATTTTCCGAAACCTTTTCTATTTTTGAAATAAACCCTAGGTCCAACGAGTTTTCTTCATCCATCCGACTAAAACTAGTCAATTTTGTTCCAGGCCACAAAAAAAATATTTCAATCAGGGTACGTAGGAATTGAATTTAGAATATTGTCTGCTGTAGATTTGTTTGGCAGTTGATTGCGTTTTGGTTGGACCTTGGTGTATCAAAACTCGCAAACGGAGAAACTGTTGCCTATTGTTTATATTAGTTTTCCTACGAGCGTGCGGAAAAGTTACTTTTCCGCACGATTTTTCGTTTTGAAAGTTGTACTTTTCCGCACGATTTGACTTTTCCGCACTATTTTTTTACTTTTCCGCACGATTTTTACTTTTACGCAAAAGTGTACCCATACATATTAAAGTTCGGGGGCCCCCTATTTGGGGGCACAGTCCCGCGGGGGCCCCATTTTTGAGGGGCACAGTCCCGCAGTGGCCCCTTTTGGGGGCAGAGCCCTGGGTGGCCCTTTTGGGGGGCGGAGCCCTGGGAGCCCTTTTGGGGGGGTGGCGAAGCCCTGGGGGCCCTTTTTGGGGGGGGCGGAGCCTTGGGCCCCTTTTGGAGGGCGAAGCCCCTTATTTGGGGGGGCGGAGTCCCGCGGGAGCCCCTCATTTGGGGGCACAGCCCCGCAGGGCCCCCTATTTTAGGTGGCATAGCCCCGCGAGGGTGGGGGATCCTAACAATTTTTTTGGCCAATTTAGATACAGGCCCAAGGATCATGATAAAAAAATCCGGTTCCATTATTTTTTTGTGTATAAAAAAATCGTGCGTCACTTTTCAGCACTAGTGCGGAAAAGTTACTTTTCCGCACGATTTTTTCATTTCTAAAAATGAAGATATTTAGGATCAAATAAATGATTTGTTATATATGTATTATTTTATATTATGTGCTCTTTTGTACCATCATTATAAAATCTTTGCGTATTGGAAACAGTTTTTTTGATAAATAAGATGGACAAAAACACTCGTAGGAAAAATATTGTACCTAACTCTTGCGGAAAATGTCTTTTCCACCCTCGACGGCTTGCCCGAACTCCGCTCCGCGTCGTTCGTACAACTGCCGTCTCGTGCGGAAAAGTACCACTTTCCGCACTTTTTAGGTAAATAACTATTTCCTACGAGCGTGCGCAAAGTAGTACTTTTCCGCACGCATTTCGGTTCTCAAAGTTGCACTTTTCCGCACTCAGTGCGGATACAGGCCTTATCCGCACTGAGTGCCGAAAAGTAAAAATAATTGTCAAGCAACAATAAGTACACCTGTCGACTTTGACACATGATGACAAATTTTTCCTCTGTTCCTGTTCCAGCTAACATCTATACCTACAAACACCAAATTTAATTAACTTCAACACATTGTCAGATTTGTTTTCTATATATATGCATCTACAAACTTTCTCATCAAATTTATAGCATTTTCCATTTGTCGAAACAGGGCAAAAAAATGTATCCTTATCCTTACATGTTACATGCTTTTAGAAAAAGATGCGGATGCACTCAGTGCGGCACTGATGACAAATGGAAATCGCCATTAAACGCTTTAAGATGAAGAGCTCTGACGATGATTTTCTGTTATATTTTTTTTTTTGTTATGTAATTTTTTGATAAATGCATAGGTTCCCTTCAAGTTAATTAAAAATAATTAAACAAATTATCGTTTTTTTTTTTAAATTTTTGTTGTTACCTACCTGATATGAAGCTCGTAGGAAAAATTTTGTTCCTAACACGTGCGCAAAGTGTCTTTTCCGCACGCAAACACGTATCCGAACTCCGCTTCGCGTCGTTCGTATAACTGTGTTTGCGTGCGGAAAAGTAACACTTTGCGCACTTGTTAGGAAAATAACTATTATATCAGTTTTTTGGTAGATTAAGCATCATTCAGAATCTTGCGCACATGCAGTAGACCTCTACGATTTTTCTCAAAAATTTCCAAAACTCAAAGTAAAACAAACAATTTCCAAAATCTAGAAATTTTAATTTCTCCAAAAAATCAGTTTTCATAAAATCACAGAACAAAAGAATAATGCACAAACTAAAATTATTTTTGTATTGGAAAAAAATCATTAAGCTAATGAATAAATTGGTAAAGTAAATTTCACTTGGTTAGCTCTAACAATATTTTTTTCTTGAACGCTTGTAATTTTGTTCACAAAAAAAAAAAAACACTTAACTAATACAGTTATTAAACAAAATACTGTCACTTGCACTCAGAGCAAAAAAATTAAATACTAATTAACTTGTTCAGTGGGAAAGGCAGCTTTCAAAAATTTGCTCACATCGTAGGTAATAATTTTTGGCGCTATAAAACCACCGAAAAACTGACGGCCTTTATGGAAAATACCTGCACCAGATAGCGGAACTGCTTCCAAACTTTCCACCTAAAACCAACACAATTTAATCCTTCAAAAATCAATATTTGATATATGATTCTTACCTTTTGAGCATCCAAAAATGGCACTGTTGTTTGAGCCACATCCCTGTCAATGTCAGAATTTGTAAATTCAATATATTGGTCTGAATGTGACGTTGGTATTGAAGGACTGGTAGATCTTATCGGTATGTCTGGATGGACTAGACGAACTTTTGTCCTGAATAAAATAATTATGCTTTAAAATTGTTTTCAAACAAAACAATGTTATGTTTACCTAGGATTTTTGATTGAAACGTCAGTATTAGGATTGTCTTTCCATTTACTATGTTCCGGTTTCAGTTTTCCTGTATCAAAGTCAAATTTAGTGGTGTAAATTTCAAAATTCAGATGTGATCCAATTTCCTTGAAGCGGACACCTGTCAGCATGTGTCCATCATCAGCCTCCAAATCATCCAAATCCATTCTTCTTTTTTCCCAGGTGAGCGTGTGATAGTCCTGTCCATTAAAAACCTTTCTATCGGTAAGCTTGTATTCATCCACAGGTTTCCAAGCGAGCGAACTAGCATTAATATTCAATCTGGGCAACAGTTCACCTTCTTGTATTTGCAAGTGAACTATGCGGTTCTTTTTAACAAAACGCAATCCAGTAACCACCCTGAAAAGATTGGTTTTAAATAAAGTAGCGAATAATTTCAAAAGAATTTCTTACTTGTTGTTTTTGATGTCAGATATAGCTGATCTCATATTGATATATCTATCGGACATTGGACCTTGTTCGTCGCAGAGGCAGAAGCAGTAGGAGCAGTGCCAGAACAACCAGCGCCACCAGCTCTCCACTTTAGTGGTGCCCCTGGAGCAACCTTGCTTCCTTCCCATCACTTTGCCGTTTTCGTATTCGATGAACTCGTAACGTCGTCCACTCAGAGGGTTCTGGAATTTTGGATGTTTAAGTTATATGGAAAAATCTATAGTTAGTGCAAGGATTCGTACTCATTGCATTCTAGAACTTTCTTAACTCATCTGGTGTGTACTTACAGCATTGCAAATCCACATATCCGAATCGTAGAATTTACAATCCAAAATTTTTCCGCTGCAAGTTCGTTGTTGTCTACAATAAAGATTTTGGAAGCACCCGTGGCTCTTGGTGAAAGTGTATTCGGCACAATTTTCCCTGCACGTGCCCTCTGGATTCAAGTCCACTTCGTTTTGGACGTAGCCTTGCAACAAGTTGGTAATTTCTTCATAGCTTTCGCCTTTCGCCCACTTTTTGGGGTCGCACTTCCAAAATTCCCTGGAAACATTTTCCATTGCGCTTCTTACACTGTTCACAGCGTTATTGGTCCTCTCTTCGTATCGTTCTCGAGTGTTTTGGGCTTCTTTCGTAAAATTACCTATAATAAAATACATATTTATAATTGCAGAAAAATTGAAAATTAACAATACCTTTTCCATATAATCTGAGCAACATATAGGAAAACTGTATCATAGTGTATCCCTTTAGTTCAGTTAGGGCTATGGCATCATAAAGATTGTAGAGTACCTGCTGGGGGCTTTGTTTGGTACTACAAATCATATCGCCTTCAACTTCCTGGCAAAATAAATTAAATTTTAATACAAGCTAACCACATTTATTACATAAAGTGTGTGCAAAATATTAATACCTTTCCAACCGATTGGAACAAATTCTTATCGACAATCTCCCTAATTCTTTCCAGGGCCTGTTCCACGCCATTTTTGGGATCATCTAGTACAGATTGCGTCATATCTAACCAGGCTTGTTTGGGTGATGGTATACGCCCAGGGGCGGTTTGTTGATGTTGAAATCTGCGGAACGATTCGTAGAGGGCGTAAACGCCTCGTAGGTCCGCGTAGGCTAATTGTAGAGCCCATACAGAGTCCAGAGTTTCTAGGCCGTAGGTTAGATCGTGTTCGAAGTGCTTTTTTAATTTTATTTTTATTAGAATTTGCTTATTGTTAAGTTACTGTTTGCAAACCTTTTTAATTATATCTCCGAAATCCTCAAATTTCCGAATCAGAGTGATTTCCGGTGAAGTTTCGCTAGGATTGTCGCTTATAGAGTTGCCATTTTCCGTGATATCTCGGACAAAGTTCCACAGTTCTTCTTCTAGTTTGAGGAATTCGAAACGCAAACGGTCCACTAGTAATAGTTTTTCCGGCTCCCTCGCCAAGATTAGAGGGAAACAGAGGGCGAAAATGAGATAGAGTTTGGAAGGCATTTTTTGGTGTTACCTTGTCAGCATTATAGAGATAATGTTGTTGGATTTTGTGTATCTAAAAGTTGAATAGTTGTCTTTGTAATTTAGTATGTATATTGGCAATAGATTTTCGCTAAAGTTTGAACTTGATCTTAGCTGCACTAATTGTAGACCTGAACGGTTCTAAGGTTGAAATCTAACCTATACAAAGTGATTGGTTGTCAATGGTACCAGGTGATTGTCTATATTTTGCACCCGCACCTATCTTACCTGTTTTAAGAGATACCTAGAAATGTCAATTGTGAAAGTTGTGAGTAATATCAGAAAGTTTTCAATGATGTTAGTTAAAAGTATACAGGGAGTGTCACAAAAGTGTGGAGAAGCAAAATTATACTTTTTTGAATGGAGAACCCTGTATATTATTGTCCCTATGGATTAGCCTTTCAAACCTGATTCCATATATACTAGGTTTTTCAGGTTATCCTCATAGTCCATTCTCTGAATATACCATGTTGAAGAAATAATATAGATTTTTTATATGAACCTTTATATTTTACTAGTGGTCTCTATACTTCACCTTTTTCAATAAAAATGCGATTATTCCACCCCTTTCTGTCCTATTTTCTCCTGGACTATTAGGAATAAACCTAAAAAACCTAGTATATTTGGAATCAGGTTTGAAAGGCTTATCCAATGGGACAATAATATATGGGGTTCTTCATTTAAAAAAGTATAACTTTGCTTCGCCATACTTTTATGACAGACCCTGTTTACTTGTAACTAACATCATTGACTTTCTGATATTACCTACAACTTTCATATTTGACATTTCTGGGTATCTCTTCAAACCAAGGAGTAAACTACAATCCCAGAATTGGTGCAAACAATTCCTCAAAGGAGAATTTTTTACGCATAATTCCTTAAAATTCCCACAAATTACTCCAAATTCCTCCAGATATCCCATCACAAATTCCTCCAAATACCACACCACGAACTTCTCCAAATACCCCACAAATTCCTCTAAAAAAAGGGAAAATTTTGGACCTTTTTGTATATAAAGAGGAAGGTGAGAAACTCATTTTCCCAAAATTTCTAATTTTTCCAGTGGAAAATAACAACATGAAAAATCTTGGAAATCAACCTACAAAAACTGAATTAGTTGAAAATACAGTCTAACACATTTCAAAGTTTTCCTGGGAAACTAGTGAAGTAAGAAATTTGAAACTTTCTGCATGTAAAGAGGAAGGTGAGATGCTCATTTTCTCAAAATTTCAAATTTTTCCAGTGGAAAACAGAACATGAAAAATCTTGGAAATCAACCTACAAAAATTGAATTAGTTGAAAATACAGTCTAACACATTTTAAAGTTTTCCTGGAAAACTAGAAAAGAGAAAATTTTGAAACTTTTTGCATGTAAAGAGGAAGGTGAGAAGCTCATTTTCCCAGAATTTCAAATTTTTCCAGTAGAAAACAGCAACATCAAAATCTTGGAAATCAACCTACAAAAACTAAATTAGTGGTAAATACAGTCTCACACGTTTCAAAGTTTTCCTGGAAAACTGGTGAAGAGAGAAATTTGAAACTTTTTGCATGTAAAGAGGAAGGTGAGAAGATCATTTTCCCAAAATTTAAATTTTTCACCAGTAGAAAATTACAACATGGGGAATCTTGAAAATCAACCAACAATAACTGAATTAATTGAAAATACAGTCTCACATATTTCAAAGTTTTCCTGGAAAACTAGTGAAGGGAAAATTTTGAAACTTTTTACATGTAAAGAGGAAGGTGAAAAGCTCATTTTCTCAAAGTTTCAAATTTTTCCAGTAAAAAATAACAACATGAAAAATCTTGGAATTCAACCTACAAAAACTGAATTAGTTGAAAATACAGTCTCACACATTTCAAAGTTTTCCTGGAAAACTAGTAAAGGAAAAAATTTTCAAACTTTTTGCATATAAAGAAGAATAAGAAGCTCATTTTTCCAAAGTTTCGATTTTTTCCAGTGGAAAACAGCAACATGAAAAATCTTGGAAGTCAACCAACAATATTTCAAAGTTTTCCTGGAAAACTAGTGAAGGGAAAATTTTGAAACTTTTTGCATGTAAAGAGGAAGGTGAGAAGCTCATTCTCCCAAAGTTTCAAATTTTTCCATTGAAAAATAACAACATGAAAAATCTTGGAATTCAACCTACAAAAACTGAATTAGTTGAAAATACAGTCTCACACATTTCAAAGTTTTCCTGGAAAACTAGTAGAGGGAAAATTTTAAAACTTTTTGCATGTAGAGAGGAAGGTGAGAAGCTCATTTTCCCAAAATTTCAATTTTTTTCAGTGGAAAATAACAACATGAAAAATCTTGGAAATCAGCCTAAAACTGTATTCATTATTCTTTTGAATTTTTTAAATTTGACAATTTCCTTTAAATTCCTCATAAATTCCTGACAAATTCTCCCAAATTCCCCATAAATTCCTCCAAATTCCCCATAAATTCCCCAAATTCTCATAAATTCGGATGAGTTCCTTCAAATTCCTCACAAATTCCTCTAAATTTCCCACAAATTCCTCTAAATTCCCCACATTTTTGGCAAAGAATTCCTAGGTGGTTTGCCCCTTGCTTCAAACACTAGGTGAGGTGCAAAATATAGACAATCACCCCGGTACGCTTATGAAAACGGAATATTAGATGTTTTTTGAAAATTTGCATGCCTAAGTGATTGCTCCTGATCTATCATTCTAAAATAATTTCAACGATGCCACGTTGCCGCATATACCAAAAAGTAATGTAAAGTTTGATATTTGGTAATATCATCGAGTAAAATAATTGATCTGATTTTAAAATTTATTAAACATGATGGAAAAATTTCCTTGACAAAGTTAAACATAGGCAAAAGCATCATATATTCATTATAGTATACGTAAGACCAAAGACAAAAGTGTAAAAAAATTTGGAAACTGGAACGTTCTAGAATCACGGTTGACTGTTGTTTTGAAACAAAATAAATCAGCTGTTTGACATTTTTGCTCGTGTATTAATTTTTCACTCCAATCACTCCGAGATCACGTGACAAAACTCTGTTCTTATTCCACTCTAACTCCGTGCTGAATAGCCGAACCCAGCTCAGATAATTCAAACCACGTGATTTTCTATAAAGTCAAAATGGACAGGAGGTGGATAGTCATGGTAAAATGGCTGGCCCACTTCCATAGATGCCTATGGTAAGACTTTTGTGACGTCATTGGATTAAACTGTCAAAAACGAAAAACATCGTGACTACGAGAGAGACAAAAACACAACAATGACAATATTTTTGCGTATGACACATTGCAGAAAATGGACTATCTTATGCATTTATTTTCAATCTAATGGTACCCATAGTTCTGTTCCAACCGACATGAGATCCATTTCAGAAACAGTAATTTCCAGTTGTCCACCTATTTTTTAATAAGTGGAACGTTAATCCTACTTAACAAATGAATTGATCGACTGGAAATTACCGTTCTAGAACGATTCTCATGCCGGTTGGAACAGAGCTATTGTTTCAGTATTTGCCATCACCCACCATTGTAGAAAATCACGTGGTTTGAATTACCCTCATTGGAATTACCTAATATGTTTCATCATGACATTTCATAGCTATTCAATGGCGTTTCCGTTTGGTAGAATGAGTGCAATGAAAATATATTTCTATCAAATCTATTTCTTCAACAGGCTGAGAGAAAGAGATGGAAGTACACTCAGTGCAAATTAAATCTACCAATCGAAAACGCCATTGGACAAATATCCCAAAATAATCCAATTCTAACAGAAACTTGCTTGTATTTCCGAAACCTTACTATTTAGGTATAGGAACATGATATTGTAAGGGATTTTAATTGCCTTTTATAGTATTTACACAGGGTGCTCTATTTGAAAAAGTGCACTTTTCATTTCTTTTGTACCATGGACCATCAATCACCCTGTATATACTACGTTTCCATTTGAGCAAATATTTGCAAAGCTGAAAACATTTGAAAATATGTAGAATCTAGAGCTTATATACAAAATTCAAAGAAAAAAATGGATAGAATACCAACTACAGAACAACAATTTGAAATACTGGACTTATGAAACATGGTACAACGAATTGGAAGGAAACACAGCTACAAGTACAAGAACACAAGAATAGCGCTACAGCTTTGTCAAAAGGTTGTCCAGTTCCAAAAAATTGAAAAACGAAATGTATATTTCTTCAAAGAAATATGGGAATGTAGAAAATCATATTTGGGACTGTGTTTTCCCAAGCTCCTTAGTATCAAGATAGAATAGGTACACAGAATACCAACGCAGACGTGAAAGTCAAATAACAACATTGGCCTAAGAGAATATTGAAGGAAGCTGTATAAACCTAGAAAAAAGACGACATATTGTCAGTCTATGGTTTCAAGTTTTTCAAGAAATCTCAATAAAAACTAAGGATTGTAATTTAATATAGAACTCCAAATATTTTCTTCTGCTCTAAGCTACTCTAAATTATGCTAGCTAAAACCTACTCTAACTTAATCAGTGTTGTAATAACGCATTTTAAAAATTTTACTTGATTATTCATGATCCATTGAAACATTCAATTTCAGTCTAAATTTCCTAGAATTTTAAACAAACGCAAACTAATTAAAATCTTATCGTCAACCAATTCTTTGTTATCTTCTAAGCAAACCACCTATTGCATTGTAATTTCTCGCTATATTATTAGTTATTGCATACGAGTTTTTTCTGCAAATAACTCGGTCTTTACTCACTTGCAACGTTCAAGGCGTTTAATAAAATCAATTTGAGCAATTCACCTAAGGTCAGACCAGCCAGCAGCGCAGGATCTTTGTAATTAAATTTTGTTTGCTTGATTATTAATACAAGCGACAACTTAGTTGGAATTCCAAATTGGGTCATTTATACTTTACATATTACCTATGTTTATTATTGATTTATTTAAACATTACCAATCGTTTTGCACTGATGTGGGTCTATTAACTTATAGGAGTCGGACAAAGCGAAAACAAAAGGACGCCATTTAGCATTTCATAATAATCGCATAATTGGTCAGTTCCGTTTGCGGCCAGTGTCATTTGACACCGAGAAACAATTTGTCGAATTGACATGGGATTTTGTTGTTTAAACATAATTTTCTTTGTTGTTTTGAATTTATTGTCATAATTCGCTTATAGGTACTTGATTTTTTTGAAGAACTTTAAACATAGGACTTCCTGGAACAGGGAGAAGCAGAAGTTACTTGAAAGTTTTGGGATATTTGTATAGGAAGTTCATAAGCTTAAAACATTTAACTTCTAGTCTGTTTTTCCGGACCAGAACACTTGGAGAATACTCAATAAAGAAATAAGCATAAATATCCAGAAAGACTTCCGAAATCATAATAGATAATTATTAATAAAAAAATATAATTGAAGATAGCAAAAGTATGAAACTTTTGGGGTTCAAACTATCGAACAGGCACAGGGAGTTGAAAGAAAAGTCATTACCAGAAATGAAATCATAGCTGTTGTTTGAGACTTCTACAAGAAGTTATATAGTTCCAGAGCAGAAAACAATCAAGAGTTCAGAACGTATGATTGGAAGAAACGCCCGAAATTGATACTGGGGAATTTGGGACAACACTGGACTAGATAAAAAATGGAAAATAATCATGTAAGAATCAAATTTACAGAGAAATGGTAGGAACACTTATGCTGGAAAGTTTATGAAACTATATGGTTAGAGATTTGAAGGAAAAATGTCAATCAATAATGGAAAAATGCTGAAGTCATCCATACAAGAAAAAAGGCAGCAACAGAAACATTATAAGGAAGAAGCTTAGACCACAAGTAATCACAATCCCAAAATGGAATCACCAACTAGTTGAACCACTCTTATTGAAAAATATACTGAACATATATGGATCTACGACAATGTTTACATCCAAATGAAAATAGATGAAAGGAGGGCAACGGGCATAGGCGCCGGAATTTCAAAATTACCATGGGGGCTCGAGCTCCAAAAATTACCAGAAGTAGAATTAATTATACAGACAAGACTAGACTACTATAGACTGGCTTGAATGGGACCAGTTGACTGATACATAACAATTTCACTGCAGGATCGCCACGCTGGATCGTTGATCGCCCCTGCATATTAATATAATTCGTACATTTTCGGCAGTTCGGCTGTATTCGGTTTCAGCAGCACCATTGGAGTAGACAGGATTTTGTTTTGAGGAGAGGGGGCAAATTTCTAGGGAGAAATCTTCGAAGCTCCACCGCAGGCGCGATTTTAAAAAAAATTAAGAAAACGAGAAAAAATAAACTGAACCCATTTAGGAGATATTTGGGATTCCCCCCCCCCCCCCCCCCCGCCAGGACAAAAAAGTTCAAAACGGTCTTTATTTTTATTTTTTTTTAAATTTCTAAGCATCCTAGCGGGAAAACAAAAAGCCTGGGAGGAAAACCTTAAATACAAAACTTGTAGATCTCGTTGAGAACTACAATAGTTATTTGTGTACCAAGGCCGTAAAGTTGATCTTTTTTGGCCGAATCAGAAATTTGCGGCCGAGGTCAAGCAAATTTCAGGTGAGGCCAAAAAAGATCATTCGGCCGAGGTGCACACAAATTTTTTTAGGCGAGTGTTTGTTCTTGAAAAAAGAATAAAATTCAACAGTAACTTTAAACTTTATTGATCAAATAAATAATCCAGCAGAGATAGGTAGATACACAATTAATAATAACAAAAACTACGATAAAGAGAGTGTGATTATAGAAAAAATTGTTTATTTTCACCAAAGTAGCGGCCGTAAAGTAAAAGCGGCCGTGAAGTAAAAGCGGCCGTGAAGTAAAAGCGGCCGTAAAGTAATAAAGCAAATGCGGCCTTGAAGTAAATGCGGCCGTAAAGTAAATGCGGCCAAAAAAGATATACTTTAGGGATGATATTGAATCCGTAAAACTAATCTTTTTGTGACAGTCGCCTAAAAAAAAGCTTATTAGAGTTACTTCTGCACGAGGCATCGTTTTTGAGAAAATTTACTTCAAAACTTTCAATACATTTTCAGAGAAAATTCAACTTTGACGGCTTATATCTCCGAGACAGAAACAACCTGGAATATCACTAAAGGCAGTTTTATAGGTAATTTATTGTTCTTTCGAAAGAAACCTGATTCGAGACAATCGGTTCGAAATTACCGAAGTTATAAGCGAAAAAGTGGCGCCGTGTTGGGTCCCCAAAATTTTCCTAGATCAATTTTTTTTTTTTTGTCGGGCTTAGGAAGCTTGGGAGCGAAAAACACCAGGAGACATTTTTGTCGTATTTTTGGCTCCACCATCCGGTGGTATTTTTCATTTTTCAAAATTCGAAAAAGTAAATGCAGGGCGTGTATGCACCATTACACGCCCTTTTCCAAAATTGGGGGGATAAGGGCTAAAACCCCTTCGGTAGGTCGGAGAGGGCTGAAACTTGGAATATCAACTTCTCTGGACCTCTTTCACCTATATTCCGAATATCATTCGAATCGGTGAAAAAAAAAAATTGTGGTTTCCAGCGGGCTTTGCTTCCCAGATAGGGGCCTCTGTATATTTTTTTCGATAAAACTCGTACTCCATTAAATTCGTATCAAATTTCAGCTCGATAGGACCATCGGTTCGCCCTCAGCGAATTTTTGAAATTTTTTCCATGATAAACTAGGTCAAAAAGCCAGTGTATTGGTACATCATGATATATTCATGTGATGTAAACATACCTATCATAAAAACAAACGGAAAGGAAATAATAATCCAACGACTTATTGAAAATACAGGTTTAAATACTACACAAGAAAATATTCAAACTGTTTGTTAATGTAGGTATAGCAAAAACAACGACAACATAAAACACACAATTTTGATATGAAAATGTATAGTTAGGAACTCAATATTGTCCTACCTACCCATTACATACAATACCTAAATCACTATGAGGGCTCTGCCCCCATAGAAAATTTATCCGGAGATATAAGTAGTCCCCCAATCGGAACTCCATTTAACAAATATGAGAACTTCAGGAAAACCATTGAAGATCGGAACATGAAGCCTATTCGAAGCTGGGAAACTGGCAAACCCCACACAAGAAATAAGCAAACTCAAACAGGATATCCTAGGTGTCGCTGAAACCTAGTGGCCTGGTGTGGGAAGGTGCAATGTGAATAACGGAGTATTCTTCCATTCTGGTAATGACGATCCAAAACATAGAAAAGGTGTGGTAGAGAACTACCGAAATCTGTCTTGAACTATGTTCCATACTTAGACCGCACTACTTTATTGAAACTCATAGCCAAGCCAAGTGATCTTAATATGGGTTGTACAGGGTATAAGCACCAACTGCGGACTCGTCGAACTATGATGTGGAGAAATTTTATGATGAAGTCAAGGAATTATGGGTCACTTCAATGCCAAAATAGGAAAGGGTGAATTTGAGGAGTTAGTTGGATCGTATGGTCTTGGAGAAAGGAACGAGAGGGGTGATTGACTCACAATTCTGCCAGGAGGAAAACATGTCTTGTCCCAGTTGCACCAGCCATTCTGGAAGAATACAACAAAGACAAAACATGTCTTGTATTGGGACTACTGAGTGGTTGGTGACTAAAGAAATTTAAAAGAATCACATATTAACTATCTTAAAAATTACCTAGACCAATACCTACCTACATGGGTAAATTTATATCGTCCGAAGTTGTCACCGAAACAACAATAAATTTTATAGCCGTATTAGTCACAGACATTAAAACCTTATCGTAATTAATATATCGATCGATAACATACAGCTACATGAAACAATTTGTTTATTGATAAATATTTTGAGAAAAATTCCATTATGCGATACAAACATTATTGAATAAGGTCTTGCTTTCAATGTTTAAGTATCAAAAACCGTGACAGTATAACAGTTACAGGTATTTTTAATTGGGGCCTTCCTAAGCTGCATACTATACTCATTTGAAACAATCCATCATAATTGCAATAAAAATCAAATAACCAATAATCTAAATACCTACATGTGCAAACCACTTGACTGAATAGGTACTTTCTATTAAATGTAAAGTCTTTATATAACAAAGAAAAAAATATTTAAATGATTGTTAAGCGGTGTTTGAAAAAATAAGTCTTGAGGAGTAAATAATCAAAAATTTGTTGTTTTGCCAAAAATAGGTCACAAAAGGTTAAAACTTACACACTTAGTAAACCGTTACGTTTATCAACAAAGGCAAAATAATATTTCACTTTATTCCCAATTAAAACAACAACAGCTGAATGTTCAGGTTGCACTGATTGTGTTTGGTTCGAAATAACAGGTAACTAATGCACCTTCCGCGGTTCCACTGGGTGCCACAAAGTAAACTAAACTGCCAATGGATTGTCCGTCCTCCGTACAAGAACGCAGAGCGAATGAGAGGGAGAAAATTAAAAACGAAACAAGGAAATAATGGTTTTATAAATGCGTGCTGCGATGATGATGATGTCTCACACACAAGTACCTTCAACCAAATTTATTGTTTGAGTAGTGGCATAGAGACTGGGAGCCGCCACATTTGTTTATTTGCTTAATGATAATGATAAAACTCATCAAATTTTTGACTAGGTATTATGTATGCAAGGGGCTATTAGGCTTAACTGACGTTTAAAGACGATTTTCTTTGGTGATGGTTGTGTGTTAGTGATTGAAGGAAGATATTCAATTAATGCATCAGACTAATGAGCTACAGTGACATAATATGAAGGCATATAATCAGTCAAAATGTTCTATGATACTATAATAAGTAACTAGTGAATGAATACTTCCAATGATGCGTACACCGCCGCTCATCGAAAATTCAAATAAATTAAAATTTATTCATCAGAAGAGTAGATATCGATCCAGATAATGAAGTTTGCTTTACCATTATGTAGTCCGGCCCTTCTGAACATTGTGAACTGATCTCCAATTAGCGGTCACGTCACGTCTAAGGTGCATGGAAAACTCAAAGATAATTATACCCCTTCAGAAAAAAGAAAATATATCAGATCCATCAAACCTTCGCCCCATCAGCATTGTATCGCCTGCTTCAAAGGTATGTACCTATACTTGAAAAACTTGTGCATCAGTAATTTTCATAATTTGTTGAAGAAAATAGCATATTGCTTAATGAACAATCAGGATTTAGAAAATAGTAGATACAGTATACAGTACCAGCAACTACTGAACGAAAAATTGTGAAACTTTCAGGAGAAAAAGAGGAGAAATGGGAGCTCATCATATTAAAATTTCAAACATTTCCAGTGAAAAATAACAAAATGAGAAATTAATGGAAATCAACTTGCAAAATCTATATTAAGCAAAAATGTTTCCGCCCACATTTTAATTTTTTTCTATAGAACAACTGAAGGGGAAAATTATGAAACTTCCAGGAGAAAAAGATTCGAGCTGGAAGCTCATCATACTAAAATTTCAAACTTTTCCAGTAAAAAATTAAAATGGGAAATTAATGAAAATCAACTTGCAGAAACTAAATTGAGCAAAAATGCCCCCTCTTACATTTTAATTTTTTCTCTAGAAAACTACAGAAGGAAAATTGTGAAACTTCCAGGAGAAAAAGAGGAAAGTTAGGAGGTCATCATACTGAAATTTCAAACTTTTCCAGTGAAAAATAACAAAATGAAAAATTAATGAAAATCAACTTGCAAAATCCAAATTAAGCCAAAATGAAGGGAAAATTGTGAAATTTTCAAGAGAAAAAGAAGAAAGAGTTAGGAGCTCATCATACTAAAATTTCAAACTTTTCCAATGAAAAGTAACGAAATGGGAAAATAATGGAAGTCAACTTGCAAAACCTAAATTAATCAAAAATGCACCCTTTAAAATTTTATTTGTTTTTTTTTCTGGAGAAAATTGTCGAACTTTCAGGAGAAAAAGAGGAAAGTTGGAAGCTCATCATACTAAAATTTCAAACATTTTCAGTGGAAAATAACAAAATTGGAAATTAATGAAAATCAACTTGCAAAATCTAAATTAAGCAAAAATGCTTCCTCTTACATTTAATTTTTTTTCTATAAAACTACTGAAGGAAAAATTATGAAACTTCCTGGAGAAAAAGAGGAGAATTTGGAGCTGATCATAATAAAGTTCCAAACTTTTCCAGTGAAAAATACCATAATGGGAATTTAATGAAAATCAACTTGCAAAATCTATAAATTAGGCAAAAATGCACGCACCCTCTTACATTCAATTTTTTTCTGGAAAACTACTAAAGGGAAAATTGTGAAATTTTCAGGAGAAAAAGAGGAAAGTTACGAGCTCCGCATGATAAAATGTCAAACTATTCCAGTGAAAAATAACAAAATGAGAAATTGATGTAAATCAACTTGTAAAATATAAATTAAGCAAAAACGCACCCTCTTACATTTTAATTTTTTTCTCTGGAAAACTACTGGAGAGAAAATTGTGAAACTTTTAGGAGGAAAAAAGGAAAGTTGAGAGCTCATCATACTAAAATTTAAAACTTTTCCAGTAAAAAATAACAAAATGAAAAATTAATGAAAATCAACTTGCAAAATCCAAATTAAGCAAAAATGCACCACCTTGCATTTTAACTTTTTTTCTGGAAAGCTACCAAAGGAAAAATTGGGTAATTTTCAGGAGTAAAGGAGGAAAGTTAGAAGTTCATCGTACTGAAATTTCAAGAGTAAGGAGCTCATCATACTAAAATGTCAAAGTTTTCCAGTGAAAAATGACAAAATAGGAAATGAATGAAAACAACCTACAAAATCTAAATGAAGCAGTTTTTCGTGGAATAATTCGTGAAGAAAGTTGACGAATGTAAAATCAAAATTTTGATATTAAATTGAGACAAAATACGAGTTTGAAATGTTGTGGAAACCATTCTGTACCTAAACTGGAATTTGGCGAGACTGAATGGAGGTTAACAAGTGGACAAAGATCATACAGTTTAAGATCAGACGCCTACAAAAATAGAGGAAGACTCTCCTTGCCTTGGACTGACCAAATAAAGAGAATCGCACAGAATGGAGGAAAATCGCCAAGTGTTAGAGAGACTTTTTCCAACAGTGGACAGTATTAAATGATAGTTGAACAGTTTTTCCCATTTTCATACGTTGATATTTTATAGCTGTTTCCCTCAAGAAATAAACTCTACATGCCCTAAAAAATTCCGGGAAACTTTTCTGAGTATGAACAATGACTAATGTAGGTACTAACTTCTTTCAATTCATGAGAAGGTTAAATGTTTATATATTTTGGTATCATTTCATTATAGTATAAATTGGCATTTTTTGGAAATAACAACTCAATGCAAATTTTCACCAGAAGTTTCTTGATCTTACAAAGTAGATATAAGAAAATCAGATAAATTTTGAAAATACAAATTTTGGCACTCTTTAGTGAGGTGACTTTCGATTGGTATTTTCGAATGTTTTTCCCTAGATTTTCTATTAAAGTTCCTCCTTGTGCGTTTGAGCCACCAATGCCGAATTTTCCCCTGTTCTGAATATCATTTACGTTGAGTGTTGACTTTCCTATCAAAGTCCCCATTATGATCTTAAAGTACTTAGGCATATTCTTCTCTCTGTGCTTCTCTTTGCATTTTGCATAATTTACTTTGAAAACCAAATCATAGAATTCACGAATTGTCGATATTTGAAATTTCAGCCGGATCTCCTAAAAATCCCCTTTTCGAAATCAAGTGGAGTTTTCTCTAACTATTTCATTAATGAAATAATATGTCCTTATCGTATTTGACCCAACCGTCATTTTTCGGAGAAACAACCTTTTAATGATAATGATGAAGCTCATTAAATTTTTGGAGTTTATTTTTGCAGTTCAAACATTGCCCTTGCAATAGGTGAAAGTGTCATTAGCTTCCTTGATCCTTGATTAATGTTAATGAAAAGACACATTTTACATACAATGCCACCAAGTAATTTATATGGAAAATGGTTTTAAGTTATTTTTAATATTCATCGTGCTGATAATCCGGTAATCGTAAGTTTACTGATGTCTCAGGTATTTTTTTCTTATCTGAACTATTTGTTCCCAAGCTTTTCGAGGGATGTTTATCAAAATCATAGTGTAGGTATATGCATTGCTCAATAAAAACGTCTCTGATTAAGTTTTAAAAATAACAAAACTTTTGTTAACGTTGCAATTTACACATAGGCGAGTTATGCTTTTGTTATTGCTCGCAGAGGACAAAACATAATAATATCGATAAATTACTTTTGTAAACAATAAAATTTGTACTGTCTTTGTCACAGCTTTATCGGTGAATGCTGTAAGCTGTAAGTAACGCTTTTATTCAAAAACTAATATTGAATCAGTTATTGTAACGATAACATTTAACTTTTTCAAAACGATGAGAAAGAAGCCCTTTTCTTAGAAGTAAAATTTTGAAATTACAGCAAAAAAAAATGAGATAGTGATAGTTGTAGAATCTTCGTGTTCACTCAGCTAGATAAAATTGTATATTTATTTTGTTTCAACAGTTTTGCAGCTGAGAAGCTTCAAAATTGAAATTATCGAACATTGAAAATTTTCCAAAAATGACACTGAGACAGTTTTGGCCTCACAGTTGCGTTAATTTTCATCTGATTTCAATGTAATTAAGTTCTAATTGAAGTTAATTAAACCCCCTACAAACTTGTTAATTAAAATTTCAATTCAGTTTCAACAGTTTTTTAGCCGAGAAGCTTCAAAATTGAAATTATCGTACATTGGAAATTTCCAAAAATGACAGTGAGACAGTTTTGGCCTCACAGCTTCGTTAATTCCCATCCGATTTCAGTGTACTTATAAGCTCCAATTAAAGCCAATTAAATTCCCTACAAACCTGTCAATTTAGATTTCAATTTGGTTTCAACCACGGATAATATTACCACAATAACATAAAACATAACACCCCAGCCAGGAAGAGTATTTCGAAGAATTACTGATACAACAACGGAGTTTAAAGAATAAAGAGAACATACACAAAACATAAAAACCGCAGGAGTTATAAAGAAAGAAAGTGCTTGGTCCAAGTGCACTTTGATGAGAACTTGAACCAAGTAAGTTGACAGCCAACGTACTTACTTGGATGTTAGGACCTATCCAACTGAACTTCGATAAACAGTTGATATGATCCAAGTATCTTTCAAATGAGACGTGCACAGATTCCAAGGGTACTAGATCCAAGTACACTTCAACCTAGCTTTATTTTCTTATTTATCTAATTTTTTGGAAGGCCGGCAAAATCCCATAGTCTTCTTTCAATTCGCAGAATCTTGGGACCGATAAGAGCAAAGTCGTCTTTGATTTTGATTACATCCTGTTTCATGCACTCATATGAAAATACTTGTTATGAAAAACCTATTGGTTTCAAAGATTGGGACGTCCTCAGCTCTTTGTCTCGGGTTATTTTTCCAGGCCCGTCTGTGAGAGTCCTCGTTATTACGCCTCTCACCCATTCTTTTTTCTTGGGCGT